CCGACAGGTGGTTGGATGGCGACTGGACTTGGAGCTGAGTTAGCTGCGTCCTCCACAACTAAGTTTGAAGGACAACAACTTGGCTGTTCCCCTTCCCCAATTCCCCAATAGAATCTTTAAAAAAAAAAAATATTAAAGGGATAGTCTCACAATTCTCACTTCCTCAAATAATGTTATTTATATTTTTTGCTTCAAAAAGAAAACTAGTTGGCTCCCTCCTCTCAACTATTTGCTCTCAGCGTTTACTCCTTTGCTCTGAAGGCATTTCTTGGCATTGAAATCTTTCAGTCTAGTTTAAACCTAACAACAACTTCCTATAACTGCCCCCAACCAAAGCAAAGGGAAAGTGCCCCTTTTACTTTTCTAATGTTTCATTAGAGCTTCTGCATTCTTCATCTCCAACTAGAGGCAGCAGAGAGAAACTACAGTCACATAGCAGCCTAATACCCTGTGACTATGTGCTTTATCTAATTGATTCTTTTTTGTTGGAAAAACTCATTCTTGATCCTTCCCACCAGACATCTTAATTTAATCCACATATACTCACTGGTCAAGTTATATTCAAAACTGAATAGCTAGTTACCCCCGGCCATGGCACATATAACCTCACTCAAGTCCAAGTTTTCAGTAACTCCAAGGTAAAATCCAGGCTCATACCAGAATCAATTCTCTTCAAACAAGATTTGGGAAAGATTTTTAACCTCATTTCATCACACACACACACACACACACACACACACACACACACACACACACACACACACAGTGACTCAGTTGAAATCTAGCCTGAGATAGCTGCAGAGTTGATTAGTATGTCAAAATTTAAGATGTAACACAATGAACAGTGAAGATGAAGCCCCACATAAAGATACTAAAATGAACAGATAAACAGGTAATGTTTGTTGAGGGTGACAGGAGAGAGGACGTGTTAGCTTAACCCCACCCAAATAGAATCTCTCCAAGGAGCAGCCTCCCTCAATAATGAAAAGCATGATGGTTCTTTCTCAGACATCTCTGCATGATTCATTCCCATAGACCTATCATTTTACAGTCTGACAACTATGCACATGGCTTCTGAAAAGAGTTCTCATTATCCAACACTGAGAAAACACCATGATTAGCTCTGGGCCAAGCTAGGCAGACAGTGAGTCACCCTGAATAAACACTTACGTCTGGACATGCAGGTAGGTACCTACAGAAACCTCTGCAGTCCTCACCTCTGCCCTTTGGATGGGAACCGCTCATTTCAATTAAGTAAAGTCTCAAATTCTGCCTATTTTTTGACACTGAAATTCACTATCTGTCTGATGTTTATTTATAGCTTTGCACTATCTAATAAGAGCCTGCTATTCAAATTAATACTTTTGAAAACAAGACTATGGGGAACATTATTTACTTAATAAAACAAGCTGTTTCTACATCTTTAGCAAATAATTGTGGGTGCTACCAATCATAAATTAGTACTTTTTGCATGAAAATAGACTGCTACTTTAACAACACTATTACCAGTACAATTATCAAATATACTTAAGAGTAATAAGAGCATTTCTCTTTGATTTTCAAAAACTCATATTTTTCCAATTACAGTAGTCTTCATTTATAAAACTTCAGTGAATGGATTTTTCAATAATCAACTGCAAATCAAGACTCCATTTGGCAAATGTCAAATAGCTTAATCAAGTTAAATCAACAGAGAATATTATTCAATTTTATCCTAATCAGAATGCCTAATTTTCATTTCTACCTTACAAATGTTATTAAGAATCCAGTGGTGTATTTATTGAGGATTCAAAGAAATACAAGGTAGAATCTCTGCTCTCGAGTACTTTCAATCTTATTTGTACCCTTCTGAAGCAGTTCAGAGCATTATGTAATTCAAAGTCAAAATAATGATACAGATAAGTACTGTAAGTCATCAAAAGGATGAAAATGGGGCTGGTATTAATAAGGAAGGTCATAGCGGAGGTAAAACTTGACTGTAGGGTGTGGCAGAGGACAGCAGAACAACCAAAATGCAAGGAGTGAAAAAATAGCATGTCATATTGGAAACATTAAAAAGTGCCTCAAGCAGCTTAATTAGAGCTTGATGTGGGCAGGGAACTCAGGACAGATACTGTCAGACCTAATTTCATCCAAAACCCACCAAGTTTCTGAGGTGGCACGTTACACGATGAAAACAGTGCCTTAATCAGGTGAATTTGGAGGTGCGCATTGAATGGGCTGGAGAATGGAGAACTCTCTGTGGCTGCCTCTGTCTTTCACAGAAAAACAAAGGCAAGGAAAAATCATCAACTCAGAAAAAGTACTCCCCTCTCCCATTCTTTAAAAAAAAAAAATCTTATAAAAAGGAAACAATAAGGCTAAAGTAATAAGAAAAAAAATTTTTTTTCTAAAATCTTAGATAATAGTCAAACTCTTTGTGGAACTGCATATCCTGAAATCAAGAAGATTCCTCTCTGAAACTTTACAGGAATGCTGAAAGAGAAGCAAAACTATAAAAAATAAAGAGTAAGTGATGGGAAGAGTTAACAGGTGAATTTCGAGTTCACTCATTTCTGCTCCTTGAATAATTCTGCCACTAAGCACTTAGACTGGGGCTCAGAGAATTGGTTCTGGTGGAATCACATCACACACAGCACCACGACATCCACAGTGGCATCCAGTAGGACAGGAGATGCAGTCCCCCTCCTCTACCAGAACAGCTGTTTTTCTCAATTTGCACAGGTTTGCCCCTTAGGATTTCACTTTTTTAAAACTCAAAACCCCTACCTCATCCTCCACCAGCCCCTGGAAACCTCCTAAAAGAGCTGCAATCAGATGCTTATAGGAGTTAGATCCTTATAAAAATGTGCTACTATTTAGGGCATCAAAAACTTCCCATTCAGCACGAGCTCTCTCCTATTTTTATTTGGCTGACTTTTTCTTGTCATCTTGAATCCATCTAAGAACAAGCAGGAATATAAGTAAATACTGTACATAAATACAAGAAATGTTTCTGCCTCCCAGAAAATTCTAGTTTTTCTTAAAAATCACTAATAAAAAAGACTATAACCTAATATTATCTTTTTTCAGCAATGTTCATTCCATAATAGGCTAGCTGGGCATATTCAGAATTTAAGAACTACATTTGCTTTTATTTAAAATGAACTAGTATGTTTTTGCTTTGTTTTTTTATATTGTTTTGTTTTTAGCATTCAGTATTGAGGAGACTTTTAAACATATCAAAATTAAACTGCTAAAACAAGATTTAAAAATAGTTCATAGCCACATTTCGAAACTATACAGGAATTTTTCCATATAAATCCATCATAAATTAGATGTATAAAAGTCTTGACCCTAAAGGAATCTTTAGCTTTCTCTCAATATGTCCAGGAGACCTCTGTACCTTCTACTTTTATTTTTTTTTAAGTTGAGCCATCCTGCCACCTGTTGGCAGCTCAGCAGCAGCTCAGCTCAGGCCAGGAATCGAACCGCTATTACTCAGAGCTCAAACTCTTGAGCGAGCTCTTAACCAACTGAACCACTCGGCCAGCCCTTGTACCCCCTACTCTTAAGTTTGTTTTTTTCCCTTTTGCTATCTCTTCGCTCTTCCTTCTCCTCCCATCTATAGCCATAGTATTTAACTTATTTGATATAATTATGGAATCAAAGTTTATAATCTCTGCTTTACCATTTCAATAAGATGATTTTTATTTCTGACTTAAAAATATTGTTACTTGAATTAATTTGTGTTGTGCGACCCTGAATTGATTTACTCAGTGAGTCAGAGCAGTGTTGTGATAAGATGCTGCTTGCTCACCACAGAATAATAGTCTTTATTAAGGTCTTTAGATTAAGAGTTATTCCATGGACAGTATTAAAATTAACCTTATGGGTTCACTAATCCAAATTGCTAAAAACGGGGCCGGCCGAGTGTCTCAGTTGGTTAAGAGCTCGCTCAAGAGTATGAGCTCTGAGCAACTAGCGGTTCGATGCCCGGCTTGAGCTGAGCTGCCAACAGGTGGCAGTATGGCTCAGCTAAAAAAATAAACAAATAAATAAAAATTAAAATAAATAAAAAAATAAATAAGTTGCTAAAAAAATAGCATCAGAATTCTGGGATTTATGTCTCATGCACACTCTTGTTTTAAAAATTCTAATTTTTAAAAATGTTTTCTACTAAATGGATATCTAAGTTGATAGCCTCTTATAAAAATGTGGATTTAGTGAGTGCCTATGTTGTACCTTAGCGTTAACGCTTGTATGGTTTTATCATTAATTCGCAGAATCCTCAATATTGTAAATTATAACTAATAGCATCCTACAAATGTATGAACTCATAGTAGGTATACAGTGAGAAAAATGAAGTGGAGGGAATTAGCCCATCCAAATCAGATGGCCGATAGTATGCAGGGACCAGGAGTCTGAACTCTTGGTTCCTGGAATGCAATCATCAACCTCTGTGCTTCCATCATTTATGATTTCTTTTTTGTTTTTTCTATTACCAACTTAAATACAAATAGAACAACTCATTTTTAATTCAGATTACATTTGAATCATTTTCTTCTATTGTTGTAAGGTTAATAAGACCTTTCAATGTTCTGCATTGAAAAAAAATAAAATAGGATCCTAAACATGAAGAGAAAACAAGATACTGTATAGTTCAAGGGCATTTGCTGCTATATAAAGAAGACAAGCCAGCTCTAAAAATCAAGGAGAAACCCTCATAATCCAATTCACCACTTGACTCTATTTCACTAGCTATCGTAAGGCACCTATACTTTTACCCAACACTATGTCTCAAGTGTGTGATTCTCCATAATATGAAAGAGCTTAATATGTGAAATGCCCCAGGACAGCACTTCTCTCTGGTATTAAACCAGTCTTTAGAAGGGACTTACACAGAATAATTTTCCTTCTAACTGTGATTCTAAGTTGACAACCCTTAGCAAGGAAGTATGGAAGAAGGATGATTAAGGGACAAACATTCTTAACATGAAGTAAGCGTGTAAGGTACTGACCCGTCGTAAGCAGCAATCATAAAGTTAAGGAGGAGGCTGATGGACTGTTCCACACTGATTTGGTGAGTAGAAGGCAGGCGCTTGTTCAGCTGGTAGTAAATGGATGAGATGACGGTTTCGAGGCGGGACACACTGATCTCAGTGCTATGGTCCAGTGTATTAAGGCCGTTGTCTCTGAAGGCTTCAATCATGTTCCAGATATCAACAAGATGGACTAAAACACAAAGAAAACAAACTGTCGACAATTTAAAAGTTTTAATTCATCAGAAAGACATAAGAACTTTACATTTATTTATGTTTGATAGAAGAGTGAAGGGTGGCAGAATATTCCACCCCAAAATACGCCACTTTGGCATAAGGGTTCTTTTGCTAAAAACACCTGAAAAACAGCAGGTTCCAACAAGGGCTCTCTGACCTCCCCTTCGCTTCCTGAAATAAAACTCCCATGTGAAAGATGCCTTCCCGGGAAGGGATTAGACAGCATAAATAGGCAACTACAATATTGCCACAGGGCCATGAAAGACAGTTCGAGGAATATAATAATGTAAATATTTTCTAGGGTGTCAGGTGGTCACATGTCTTGTTAGGGAGACAACTTCATGGATGGTGTAGAGGCCTGATCACTGCACTGTACATCTGAAGCTGATGTTGTATAATACTGTATGTCAACTATAATTGAATATATATATATATATATATATATATATATATAGTCACGGGATGTGGGGTATATAGCGTGGGAGTAGAGTCAATAGAATTGTAATAGATAGGTATGATATGGGAGGGGCGGAGTGGGGCAGCGAATTGGGGGAGGGGGTTGTCACATTGAGGGGTAAAAAGTATAACTATTGCACTGTGTTGTACAGCTGAAACTAATTAAAAAATAATAAATAAATAAATAAAAAGAAAGAAAGATGCCTTCCCTAATCCAGGAGGACAGTAACATTTTTATCATCAGAGGCCATGAAATGAGGCCAAGATTAATCTGTAAAGACTTTTTAAAATAACTCTTTTCTTCCTTTAGTCTCTCTCTCTCTCTCTCTCTCTCTCTCTCTCTCTCTATATATATATATATATATATATATATATATATATATACACACACACATATATATATACACACACATATATATATTATATTTATATTTAATTACTGTTCCACAGTTGCTACTCTTTGTTCAACCTAGTATATAAGCACTGAGGCCTTCACTGGGTCTTCACTTTCCTATGGGGGCTCCCATGTATATGTAAAAATTTGAATGCTTCTCTCCTGATAATCTATGTCAATTTAATTCTCAGAGCCAACCAGACACCCTAAGAGGGTAGAGGTACAGTTCTGCCTCCCCTACAATAGTCTGAAAAATATATAATGCAAAATTTAACAGAATGTCAAAGAGACAAATTCACAAGCTTTGGGGAAGATATTAACATACTTCTCTTAGTAAATGATAGAGGAAACTTAAAAAATTAGTATGGACACAGACAATCAAACTTTATAACTAACAAAAATAAGCATAATGGATACTATATGAGGTGCTATCAAAAGATATGGTGAATGTTTAAATTTAAAAAATGTATTACAGTAAAAGACACATTCTCATTAATCTCACTCAAAATACTCCCCCTTACTTTGAACACACTTATCCCATCATTCTTGCCACTTTCTAAAAGAGTTCTGGAAGTCCTCTTTCATGAGTGTCTTTACTTCATCCTCCATCATGACAATGCTCCATGTCACACATTGCTTGCTTCTGGAACAGCAATTTCTGTCAAATAAAAACATCACAGTGTGTCCTCATCTACCTCATTCACCAGATATGGCACCATGCGACTTCTGGCTCTTCCCCCAACTCAAAATGACCATGAAAGGCAAACATTTTAAATAAATTCAGGACATCGAAGCAGGCACGACAGTGCAACTAAAGACACTCACAAAAGAGGACTTTCCAGAACTGCTTCAGAAAGAGGTAAGAATGATGGGATAAGTATGTTTGAAGCAAGGGGAAATATTCTGAGGGGAATTAATGGCAATGTGTTTTTTACTGTAATAAATTTATTTTCATGCTAATTTAAACATTCACTGTACTTTTTTATCATACCTCATACACACCTCAACTTATGAGAGAGAAAAGTACAACAATTCTGTCATAAGTTAGTTCATCTTCACGGAAATTAAGACAAGAAAGATTTTATATGCTTGTGTGTGTGTATAGTTTATTTACATATTTTATAAGTAGCAATTGTGGTAGCAATTCATTTTATATTAAGTTTAATCAAAAAAGTTAATTCTTAGGGGCCGGCCGAGTGGCTCAGTTGGTTAAGAGCTCACTCAAGAGTGTGAGCTCTGAGCAACACTGGTTCTATTCCCGGCCCGAGCTGAGTTGCTGCTGAGCTGCCAACAGGTGGCAGGATGGCTCAGCTAAAAAAAAAAAAAAAAAGTGACAAGAAAAAAATCAATTCATTTAAGGAACATTATTACTATGCCAGCTTCAAAACTCATTACATTATTGAGTATGTTCAATATTTTGAGGGATACACAGAGTAAGACACCAAGTTCTTCCCATCACAAAACTTATGTTGTGATAAATACTTAAGACAAAAATAATTCAAATATTACTCTATGACTAAAAGATATTAAATTCCTTTATTTTACATTATCAAGAGCTCTACCCAGCTATCGCGGAAATGACTTACGGTTGCATCGTTTTTGTACAAATCGTAATTTGCAAGCAGTTCTATAAGTTGATAGTCGTATGACATCAAAATTCTGAGCACCTGAAAAAAGGATAAATAAAAAGTGTCCAAGTAGATTTACTGTTTAATTTCTAAATGCTGGGAAATGACTCTATTCCATTGTGTGGGCACAGTCTATATATAACACGTCAACCAGGCCTTCTGATAAGACGCAAAGGCAGGAGGAAGGGTTAGGGACCTTTCTGCGTGCCCACGCCACGCCAGGCACTATGGCAGCAGTTTTGCTACTAGGCTAAGAAAACTCTGAGGGGAGTAACACTCATGACTTAAGTGAATTACTATACATATCATGAAGAGGGGATGAAGTGGTATCATAGGAAAGACCCTGGCCTGGAGTCAGAGAGCTAAATTCCAGCCCCAGCCTGACCACCAACCGCAGAACATGACCATCGCCACATTACAAACCTCTTCTCAGCCTCAGTGTCCTCATCTGTAAAACGAGGGAAACAGGCCACCTATTCTCTAATGTCCCCTTTCAGGACTGTGGCAGCCTGTATTTTTCAAAAAATGGCCACAATGGAATTTCCAGACCAGTATTTTATGTGCTTCTAGTACAGTGTCTCTCCCCATCAAGAACTAAAGATTATTTCCCTCTACTTGCATCTGAGCAGGACACTGTGACTGCCTTAATGAATGGAGCGTGGCAGAAGTGACACTGCACGACTTCTGAAGGTAGATGATAATGGGTAGTACAGCTTGCCCCTGTTCTCACCCTCTCGGGATGCTTACCCATGGGACCGAAGCTAGTTTTCACTCTGTAGACATACCTCAGGGACATCCCAGGCTAGACTCCTGCCTCCCCTCTCCAGCTTCAACTGAGCAGTACCAATTTTATAACAGTCATATGTTGAGGGTCCTTGTAAGATCTCATTTGAAAAATAATACATACTTTTAATTCTTTTTAAAAGAGTAAATGCTTTTTAAAGCTTTCACAATCACTGGTCCAGACCAATAACCCTATTTCATGGTAAAGGAATTTGAGGTCCAGCAAGTATGAGTGTGTTAGTCAAGGTCTCACAGACAAGTAGTCACAAAGCAAAACAATCCTTCAAATACTGGGAATCGCCCATTTGTCTCATCCATCTTCTTTTCTTTGCTCGTTTAATAATAATGTAAGTTTTAACAGGAGGTTTAAAACTGTAAAGTGATATACCAAATTCATGCTTTTAATTTTTCCTATAGCTCTAAGTGTTGTCCTAACATTAGTCCCCTGTGCCTCAGAATCTGCATCTAGTGCAAGGTAATTTATATGACACATTAATTATTTATCACCACCTACAAGCTCATGGTAACAAAGGAGTTACAGCAAGAGGTCTAAATTGACTGGGACACCTTGATCTTACAGATATTTTAGGTAACTTTCTGCCTGATAATTTATGACCTTGCTTAAGAAAGTAATTCAAGTACATTCAATTAAAATATATACTCTGGCTTGGGGTCCTCTGACTCCATGATTCTTTAACTCCCAAGCTTCCCTTTCTAAAGCTTCTGACATAAAACTTCCGATTAAAGCTGTGACGTGATCAGCAAAAAGAAAAAGCATCCCCACACATACAAACAAGGCCTCGAGAAGCACTCAGGACTCACGCATTTCTAGGAACAGCTGCCTCTTCTCCACCATGGTCTTCCGCTTATTCCCGCTTTCTTCAATCATCCTAGAGACCAAGGAAAATACAAGGAACCACTATAATTTGACAATTCAACTAAGTGCTTATCATTCTACTGTGAAGACAGAGGTACAGGAAACCAAGTTTCATATGCACATACTGAGAGAGCATCAATAAAAATAAAGTGGAAGGCTGATACAGAAACAGATGGACCTCAGTCCCTTTATTTGATAGCTTTTAAAATATTAAAAGTCAGTACTTAAATGAGCTCATACACTAGCTTCCTGTGCTGAACATATGGGGCTCTGTCTCATTTCTAACTTTGATTAGTTCCTCTCCTGTATTAGTTGAGACACAGATTTCCATCTCTCTACTGTTTTACATAGATAAACATGTTATAAATACAATTTAGAGGGCCGGCTGAGTGGCACGATGGTTAAGAACTGGCTTGGAACGCCAGAGGACCCTGGTTCAGATCCCACATATGAGGGCCAGTGACACTGCCCTCCACAGCTAAGATGCTGAACAAC